GAGCATTTTCCTTTCGTTTCACAATGTCTGTCATACCTCCTAATTTTTATTCACTCTTTCAGGTTCTTACACTAGTGAGACAATACGTTGCTTACACATGGAGGTCTGGTTTATTTCACTTATGAGTATGGTCTCTAGTTGTGACCATTTACCTGTAAAAGCCTCGAGTTTATCTTTCTTTATAGCTGAGTAATAATCCATTATATAAAAGTACCACAATTTTTTTTTTTTACTTTAAGTCAAAATATAGACCATGCAACCTTTCATCAAAAGGAATTTGGAGTAGTTCTTTATAATATCACACAAAGTAGATTTCAGAATAAGGAGCCTAACCAAGGATTTAGGAAGTATATTACCCAATGCAAAAGGAATAAAATTCCAGAAAATTGAAACAATTATAAATTTATTACATAGCTAACAGTAAACCAAAATACATGAAGAATAAGCTGGAAAAACTAAATTCAAGCAGTGAATTTTATTATACATAAAGTTAAAAATAATTTTTTGAAAATACATTTAATGATCACATCTATGTGAAGTTGTAACGTAGTCAAAATGAAAGTATTTTTGTTACATTAGTAAAAAAAATATATCTAAAGCAAAGAATCATGCTATGACCCAAATGGTTCCCCTGGAATTCATATCCTGAACTTCAAATATGATGCTATATGGAGGTGAGGCCTTTGAGGACTACTTAGGCTTACAGCAGGTTGTTATAGTCAGGGTGTACAAGGGAAAATATTTAACACAGGGCACATAACTTATAGGATTATATTACAATATTCACCCGAAGAGTCAAATGCAGAAAAGTGCAGGAGACCTGTCCACAAAATAAAGACATAAAGAATCCAGCTGAGGGATTGGATCCTATGGCAATGTCCTCCATGAGTCCATCTGGAGGCATAGAGCCCATGACAATGTCTCATGCAAGTCTGTATCAAGGACCTACACTGGGAAGGCGCAAAAGTCAGTGGTGGCAGCTAGAATGTCTGGGCCAGCAGGGTAAGGGATCTGCACTGGAGCAAGGAAGTGATGCTCAAAGTAAGGAACAGAGCTCCCACAAAGAGAACTATAGCCATCCTCAGTGACAGCAAGGACCCAAGCTCCTCCAATGAAGAGAACAGTTGAGTTCCTATCAGGAAAACCAGCATGACAAGCTTCTCCAGGAAGATCAATAGTACTAGCGTCTTCCCCTCCAGTTTTCCTTTTATGCTGTCAGCAACAATTCTCAGGTGGGCCTTCCAGAGCCATCACAACACTGATTCAGTTCAGCTGGGTATTACAAAATGACCATTAGCTGATTCCACCACAGAGGTCATGAGGGTGAGGTTCCCATGATAGACTGAAGTGCTTACAAATAAAGAAGAGACCAACACTAACCCTTTCTCTGTCCATCCTGTGAGAACACACTTAAAAGATGTATTTGGGAACCAGAGGGAGGGCCCTCCCTTGGGAACTAAATCAGCTGGCCCCCTGACCTCCTAACATCCAAATCTGTGAGAAATGTATCCCTCTTGTTTAATCCACCCAGCCTGTGGTGTTAGGCTTAGGTATTTGTCCCTGCCTAATTTCATACCGAAATAAATTGGCAATGTAATGGTAACAGAAGTGGAAAATTTAAGAGGTGATTAGGCTGTGAGTGCTCTATCCTCCACAATGGACTCAGTGCCCTAAAGAAAGAATTTTTGTAGTGGACACTTTCTTTTTGCCTTTTTACATTTCACCACATGATGATGCAGTAAGAGGTCTTCACCAGATGAAAGCACCTCATGTTGGACGTCCCAGACTCCAGAACTGTGAGAAAATAAACTTCTGCTCACTCTAAAATACTCACAGGTATTCTTTTGTAGCAGCACAAAAAGATTGAGGCACAGCCCAGGTAGGCTTTTACAATAAAAGTGGGGAGATATGATCAAAAAGGAAACTAAGGAAGTTCTGATGTACATTTTCTTGCAAGTTCAAGTAGTGACACCCCAAAAATCTATTTTTCTCACCAAAAACAATGTACCCAAATTATTAACACTCATTTTTCTCACTAGAGATCTTTTGAGCCATGTTAAAAGAAAAATTCTGTTAAATACTGAGATATGGGTGTATATACCCATGCTTGCGCATGTACCACCCACACATATACACAAACATAAATGAAAACAAGGAGATATGAGTTTACAACATATTTTCCTTAATACTTTACTTACCTAAAGTAAGAAAATTTCCACAACCATGTCAACTCTTAGGAATATCCGCTAAAAATAATCTATTTAAAATAATCTAAAAGTATAAATAGAGAGTAATGTTCTATTTTTTAACTTTCACTAATACATATTTGCATAATTATTATATTCACTGATAATTTCTACATATGCATAACACATATCCATTATTTTTCCTTGTCTCTATCTCCCATTTATTTTGGAAGATTCATTTGTTTATTTTATCAGGCCTCATAAGGTTAGCTGTCACATATAGATTGATGCTCTGTGGTAGACTATTGGTTCAGATTCAGTGTTATTATGGACAAACTAGAGATTCTAACGTTTGTAGACAGATTCAAAATAGTGAATAAAATTGAATGTGAAAGAACAGGAAGATAAACACCTCTTGTTCCAGTAAAGCTGTGCTGCTTTAGTGTTTATACCATCATAACAGTAACTTGTCAATAGATGAAAATGAACAGGCGTTCTAAGAATAGGAAGAGAAGGTATGATCACTACAGGAGAAAATGGGGTCACAAGGGACAATTAGTGAGCGCTCAAAGGAAGGGATAATATGAGATTGACAATCTTCCCCCAGAAAGTCCCACTTTGGGAATCCACAGGTGGCTGTATCCCTTAGGATGAGTAAATTGAGGTAACACAGCAACATAAATAAATCTCTGTGTGTGGTACATATGCCAATCCCTCTTAAAGCCTTACCTCTGTGGCTGTGGCTAGTAGTTTTCCAAAATATCATGCCCTCCATCCTGTCTGAATTTTGCAACAGTCAAAACAGAAGATTACAAGTCAGACCTGCCAATTATCTAAGGATATGGGCTCAGAAGCAGTACAAGTATAAGATAGTACTTAAATGTGCATTTTACTTCTGCCTTCATTTGTGTGGCTGAAAAAACAAGCCCTCAAGTTACATGAAAGGATGGAAAGAGATTCATCTTCACAAGTAAGAGTTCTGGGAAACTCCAGGAATTGTGAGAGGGAAGAATTCAGTGTTGTGCAACTTCTGTCTTTATTAACTGAGATTGGACCCATTGAGAACCAGCTGTTTAGGAGAACAGAAAATGTAGTGAAGTGGAATCTGGAAAGGATTGCTAAAAAGGCTATGAAAAACAGAGCTCAGAAACCTTTAATTCTCCTTTATTTTAAGTGATATTTAGTTTAGCCACTAGGATAGGAAAGCAAAAAGATAATTTAGGACTATGGATGGGTAGGGTCAATCCCACTGTCACTGCAAAATCATGTAAATTCTCATACACATTTCTCACCAAGTATTTCTTGATCATTGTATTCTTTCCTCTAGGCTTCTGGGGTGCTCTGAAATCCTGTGCTTACAATTACTCTAGGCAAAAGAGGATCTATTTACAGGATTTTAAGAAAACTTGAAGTGAGTTGAAGTATGGAATATTATAAATCCCTTCCATTCTATGCAATATTCAGAATTACCCTGAAAGTCCTCCATGATTTGATCTGGAAAGTACCATTTTTGTAACTAATACATTAATAGTTAAACTGAGCTAGTATACTTTTCTGTAAAGTATCCAGGACTGTATTTTATACTTGTATTTACTTAAATGAACATCACCACTCCTTCATTTTCACTTTGGGTCACTTGGCCCCAAAAGATACTTGTCATCATTAATATAGTGCCCTCATTAATATAGAAAACAAATGAAGAAATTAAGACCAAACCACTCATAACAAAATGTTGCACAACTACATGGACTTGGTCTTGCCTCTCTCACAGTGAAGTTAGACAGTATCCCAAACTAAATCTAGCACACTGAAGGTTTTCATGAAGTCTCTCCTTTCTCTTTCCTTCCCCTCCATTTTTCCCTTCTCTTGTTTCCCCTTCTCTTGTTTCCCCTTCTCTTTCCTTGCCTTCCCAAACAACTCCAACTTTCTGATCTATAGTTGGATTCAAACAACAGCAAGTGTAGAGGAATAAGAGACGGACTCCTGCCTAGACGAATCAAGGATCCCACTTTGTGCTTGGTACCCAGAGGTCTCTGATTGGGATCATCAAACATTGGTGAGCCCCTACATACATCAATAAACCAGAAGAGAAGTATCTCTAGGAATCCTGAGACCTCTGGCTCAAAAATCCTAAAATAACATATGAAATCCACTCCTCAGTTATTGCTACCACTAAGTAGACTTTCACGTAGCCTAATGTTTACATATGTTTTAGAGTCCAACTGATACAAGATGGAGCCCAACTGAATCCACTGTGAAGACGTCTGGGCAACTGAAACTTTCCTGAGTTAATGAGTTTTGATGAACCCTGAAAATAGGATGTCAATTTAGACTTGTTTGTCTGAGTTATCATAAGACGTGAAGCTGATAACCCTAATTCTAACCCAGAATAAAAGTGAAATACACAAAGTTTTTGCTATATTATTTGTTATCCTTTTCTCTCCTTCTTTTCCCGTGATGCCTCATATTTGTCTTTTTGATTCCAAAAATCAATGTTAGTAAAAGTATGTATTTGATATTCACATTTGCACTTAGAGACAAGACTCCAGGACAGTCATTAACCTTCTCCAAGCAGCTTACTGCAAAAGAGCATGTCTTGTGAGAAACTTCTAAGAGAGTAATGAGATGTGATGAAACAATTCAGAGTCTGATCACGTAAAACTATCTGAAAGTTTTAGTCTTCAGTAGTATTCTTATCATTAATTTAATAGAATATGAAGGACTTAGGAGTATTAAGGAAAAGGAAATATCCCTCAGGATTAGGAAATAAGATCACGTGTCACTTTCATTTTTGTCTTCTTTATTTAGGAAGACATGAACATGTCAGAAGTCAACAGAGTGACTGACTTCATACTCCTGAGTTTTCCCTTCTCCAAAGAGGTTCAGATCCTCCTCTTCCTGCTGTTTTCTGTGTCCTACATCCTCACACTGATGGGAAATGGGGCCATCGTGTATGCAGTGAAAGTGGAGCACAGGCTCCATACCCCTGTGTACCTCCTACTGGCCAACTTCTCATTCTTAGAGATCTGTTACATCAACACTACTGTTCCAAATATGTTAACAAACTTCCTTTCTGACACTAAAACCATTTCTTTTATGGCCTGCTTCCTCCAATTCTATTTCTTCTTCTCCTTGGGCACTGCTGAGACATTCCTACTGCCTCTCATGGCTTTTGACCGATACTTGGCCATCTGCCAGCCTCTCCACTACCCTATCATCATGAACAGTCGCCTCTGCCTAAACTTAGTTGTCCTCTGCTGGGTGACAGCCTTCCTCTGTTATCCAGTCCCTATCTATTTTATCACTCAACTCCCCTTCTGTGGCCCAAATACCATTGACCACTTTGTCTGTGACCCTGGTCCTCTTTTGGCCCTCTCCTGCATCCCTGCACCTGGAATTAAGCTTTGCTCTTCTTTGCTAAGTTCACATATTATTTTCATCACCTTCTTTTTCATCCTCACATCCTACACCCTGGTTCTCAAAGCAGTGTTTCAAGTGCCTTCAGGAGCTGGCAGATGTAAAGCCTTCTCCACCTGTGGCTCCCACTTAGTTGTGGTGTCTCTGTTCTATGGAACCATAATGGTGATGTACATCAGCCCAAATTCTGGAAATCCAGCAGGGACACAGAAGATTGTAACCTTGATCTACTCCACAGTGACCCCACTTGTAAACCCACTGATTTACAGTCTCCAGAACAAGGACATGAAGGCTGCCTTGAGAAAAATTCAAATGTGCACAAAAATTAGTCAAAATTAATGAGAGCTCATGAAAGGATCATGTTTACCCCTATTTCTCTTCCCTCATTTTCTCTCTCACTTAAAAGTCTTTGTTCATTGGTTCTTAGAGACTTTGATTCCATCTGTTATTTCTTACTTTCAAGTACTGGACAAGAATATGTCAGTTAGAGCACATATTGCCAGCAAATTAGAATATGATAGCTGATAAAGTGAATTAATTGACTTGGATGTCTATTATTTGGACTCTTTTCCTACTCTAATGTCGAATATCTGCTCAAATTTACCTGAGGTCACAGATCTAGTAATTGGCCTCAAATTTTTTGACTTCTAGTAAGTGCAATCCATTCTGATACTTGACTTTTTTGCCTAAAGATATCCTCCTTTCTCCTAGAAGAACAATAAAACATTCACATATTGTTTAGCTAAGAAAGAAGGAAAGCTGTGCCTATCAACAAATCATAACTGACTCAAAATTTTTGACATTGAAGTAATAAGTAACAGTCTATATCACTACCTTCCCAACTTGTTTCATAATTGTTTAGAAAGTGTCTTTAAAGGACAGATTCCAAGGGCTTTCTCCAAATTACCTAAATCAAACTCTTTGCAGTCTATCTGACAATATTCATTTCATTTTCACCTATGTAAATCTGATTCATCTGCTCTGCTCTAATCCAGAGACTGATCTGATAGAGCATAATTTTTTATAAATGTGACATTCAGCAAAAATATTCAAAAGTTTTATTAGTTTAAACAGAGAAAGAAGTTACCATGAGCTTTGTAGGTGATGAAAACAATTGTAATGATAGCAGTAGAGTTTTCCTAACTCAACATTCAAGTCCTCCATTTATAAAATATGAAATAACATGTCTCCTTAACTTTCCTACCTGCACAAGATAATTCACATACCTGGACATAAGCTTACATTAAAAAGAAGATTAGTATGTTGAGACTTTACACTTTTGGGTTAATTTCAAGTGAATGATGTTGAAGTGGCCACACAGCCTAGATGTGGTAAAAGTAGGCAGAACAAATGCCAAGATGAAGACAGATGCAGAAAAAATTGATGATCGCTCCAGGTGACTTTTCCAACTATCTGGATGAAATGAATTAGGCATTTCACATCTGGAATTGATTTATATCACTCATTCCTTCAACAAACATACTTATACCTCTTTGGCATGCAATGGACTTACACCAGCCGAGAAGATAAAGTCTTTTCCTTTGTAAAATTTGCATTCTGGAGAGGAAGACAAATTATGAGGAAATAAAGGCATAACTCTTTAGTTCTTGGAATCATAAGTAGTAGTAAAAATAAAGGTGGACATAAATATAGAAAAAATTAAGATATGATAGGAGATAATTTGATAAGATGGTCAGAGAATCACTTTTGTAAGGACACGACATTTCAAAATAAATGTATAAGGCTACAAAACTATAGAGCCCAGGTAAAGAATGGGTATAAGTTTGTGTTTTCAGAGAATAGGAAATGATTAATTTTGACATTGAAGAAGGGAAATGGAATATGAAACTGAATATTTGAGCAAGATCAGAATCTAGACTCTTCTGGGCCAGTTTTTTGTGATGTGCTAGGGAATCTTCCTAGTATTATATATGAAGAGGAAAACTGGAAAAGAATCTCACTACTTCATGAGTCCTTCTTAATTTGGAACCAATTTACCCACATATTTACTTAAATGTACCTTTGTTTTATTTTATTTCACCTTGCTGTATCAAAGACCTAGTAACAAGGCATTGATATTAAATTACAGAAATAGATCAATGGAAAAGAATAGAGAGTGCAGACACATAGTCATATAGAGAAGTAATTTTCAACAAAAGTGTGAAAGCAATTCAGTGTAGGGTGGTTAGTAGTTATTAAATGGTGCTTGAATAGTTGGCCATCCATATCACAATAACTGAACTTTAAAATTTCAACACTTCATAAAATACATCAAAATGTATATCATAAACATATACTAACAAAAAGGATTAAAAAGAAAATAAAAACTAGAAATAAGAAAGATAAAATCAGGTCAAAATTTAACAATAAATTCAGAACAATTTTAATTAAAGTTTATTTGCTTACAAAGAACAATTCCTAAATGGGGAGATTTCTAACAAAAGTAAAAGTTACAAACCAAGCTCATAGAAGTTAAACTGCCATTTTATAAAGCATAAGGAAGACATATATTAACACTTTTAATTGTTGCACATTAAAGATCCATTAAAAGGAAGCAGAGGTGTGTAAGTTTGTGTACCTGATTAATTTAATTTTATTGAATAATTACAAGGACATTTTGTAGAAGTTCTAGGTCTAGAGTCAATGTTTGAGAGAAATTAAAATGACTTAAGTTTTAGTGAAATGTCCATAGAAGAGTGGACTTAGATATGTAAACAGGAGAATGGGGAGGGGAGGAAGTAAACAGAACCATGATGTGATGTATATATGCACTAGTGCCTCACAATGTGTTTATCACAAACTATGCTAATAAAAAATTGTTTAAAAATATAAAATGCACAAAATGGATCATGGACATCAAACTATAAACCCTCCAGAAGAAAATATATTGGGAATATTCTTGTGATGCCTGGCTTAGGTAAATGTTTCTTCAATACTAGAATAAGTATTATTCATAAAAGAGCAAATTGGACTACATCAAAATTAAATACATTTTCCCTTGAGAGAACCCTGTTAAGAAAAATACAGACACACAAGGAAAAATTATTCAGAAAGCATATATCTATTAAACAATTTGCATTCAGAATATATAAAGAATGCTTAAAAATAAAACAATGAGCCATAAAGGAGGATAAACTTGAGTCATTTGTAGGAAAATTGATGCACCTTGAGAACACAGTGTTAAGTGAAGTAAATCAGACACACAAGCTTAAATATCACACAGTTTCTCTTTTATGAAAAGCTCAATGTATAAGCAAAATAAAAAACAGGTAAGAAGAAAAAAGAGAGACAAAACAGTTATTGTACTCTGGCATAGAGAATAGATCTAAAATATACCTTGATTTAGTATAATTATCTTATGTGGTTTATAGGTGTTTTTGATCTATTAGTTTGGTTTCTGTATATATGATAAGTTTCTAAGAACTTTTAAGATACATGCATGAATCTTAGGCTGGCAAAGTAAAAGAGAGAAGGGGGAAAAATAATTGAGAGGTGTTATATACACATACCAATTCCCTACAATGAATGCAATTATTGTGACCAGCAAATATGCACAAATAAAAATTTTGAAATAAATAAATAAAATTAAAAATAAGAAAATACCACTTTGTAGAGATAGGGACCTTGTCACTCCTACTCATTGCAATGTTATTCACCACAACCAAGAGCATAGCACGAGTGTGTGTGCACATGCATGTGCACGTGTGTGTGAGTGTATGATGGCTGAGATGGAGGATGTTTCCCTAAAATCTCATGTGTTCATAGGCAGGGCTTTGGAAAGTGATTGAATGATCAAGCCTCACCTCCTTACAGCAATACCAGCCCATCATTGTACTCCAGCATAGAGAATAGATCTAAAATATACCTTGACTTAGTATAATTGTCTTATGTGTTTTATAGGTCTGTCCATAGGGCTATGACCTGAGACATTAGATCTCCTTTCCCACTTCTTCTCCTACCTCTCTGCTTCTTGGATGTCTTCACGTAGTGCAACTTTCCATCTCCCAGGACTTTTATCCACATGGGTTCTATGCTTCAGCCTGCTGAGCATGGACTGCTACTTCTAAAACGTGAGCCAAAGTAAATTTCTCCTTCATTACGTTGCTGGTGTTGGGAATTTTGTCCCAGCAATGAAGAAAGTACATGTATAATTCTTTTAAAAGCTGGCATTAAAAGATGTTATTGCTACTTGCAATAAAATGAATGGATATGGAGGACACTGGGCTAAGTGAAATAAACCAGATGCAGAAAGAAAATTACTACATAATCTCTCTTGTATGTGGCATCTAAAAAAGGTGGAATATATAGAAAAAGAAAGAATGATAGTTAGGAAGCTTATAAGGGTAGGAGTAAAGGGGAGATGTAGATCAGTGGGTACAAACTGCACTAATGTAAGATGAATAATTCTAGAGATCTAATATACAGGATAAGTACTGTAGTTAATATTTTATAACTACTGAAAATTTTCTAAAACAATAGATTTTAGTTGTTTGCATCATAAAAAGTGTATAAGGTATGTTGTTTGTCTTAATGGTATTAATAATTTAAATATATATAAATATCAAATATTATGCTGTATACCATAAATCTATACAACTAAACACAAATGGTCAAATTAAAGTAGGCAAAGATTTGAGCAGACATTTGAAGAAGATATATGGATGACAAATCAGCAAATGAAAACACTCAAAATCATTAATTGATAAAGAAATACAAATGTACCCCCGCGCCTTGCGCCCAGGCAGCCAGTTCTCCGGGAGCGGCAGCAATCCTAGAGCCGAGAGTGGGCCGGACTCATACCACCGCGATTCCCAGCCGAAAAGCGCGCAAAGAGCCAGGTAGGCCCCACCCAATCCCGGAGGCCAGGACGCGAGAACA